ATGCTGTTAAAGCTTTAGGAAAAGCCCCGCAATTGGCGATTTTGAAATCCAGATCAATGATTTGGGTTATCACGCAAGGAGAGCCGAACTTTGGAACTGTTCCAAAACGGCCCTTGGATTTCAACTGCGTAAAACCACACATGGTGGCTGGATTTGCACAGGCTTCGGGACGGGGGTCCTTCCCGCTCCCACCAGGCTCAGAAGCGAGCCCGGGCATTTGCAGGGGGACTCCCGCGCAGGGAGGGCAGATGGGATCCTTGGGTCTGAAGACCAAGCTGAGAGCACGCTGAAAGCAGACGAGTTTTCTTTGCAAGGAATAAGATCCTGAGCCAGGTGGACTGTGAAGTCGATTGTACTCACTATATGATTTATTTCAGAGGAGGAGGCAGCCTAGCAAGCTTGAGTCTACGGGAAGTATTCAGAAATATGGTGTTGAGTTAATTAAAACGTGGCGAAGCTGTTTTTCTGGACAGGGAAACGAGACCCATAGGCGGCAGTGTTGCATTCCTAAACTGGATTTCAGGCCGTTTGCTCCGGTTTGAATCCTTTTGGAGGTCTGAGCCTTGGGGTCCGGTCGTAGAAGTCAAGCCCATGGATTGGGTTGGCCCTGGAGTCCCCAAGAGTCCTTCTGAGGCATCCGGACCGTTTCCCCCTTTCTAATCTGCCACATGTAAATTCGGATTGGTGTTCTCTTTGACGAGGAGATCCTTAATAAGGAGGAACTTCAAGAGTTGGCAGAATGTAAGTTTGATGAATGAATACACAAGAGATCTGTCATTTATTCAGGCTCAGCCTTTAACCCAGAGACCCTCAGAGATCACTGCTTTCTCTTTGTAAGGACTGGGTTCACACACGCTATCCACTTGTAACTTGGATTGCTGCTTTTGGCACGGCGTGAGGGGAGAAGTCAACAACCATTGCTCATCAACCATGGCCAACTGTTCACTGAGAACCCCTCTATCGCTGCTTATTCCACAAGCCATGGTTTCAACAAACCACAGCTTCCCAAGATGTGCGTCTCTGGGCAGACACCTATCTGTACACAACGGCTTTCTTTTTACAGCATCGCCAGTATTACAAGGTCTGGTTACCACAACTTTCCACTTTAGAGTCGAGAACTGGATTAAGAAAGGAGGCTGTTTTCTGCCCAACAAAAACGCTATGGAGGGCACTCGCATCTGGTCGCTAGGTCCAGTAAGGGTTAAAAAAATATGCAGTACAGCTTGTGGTTCTGCCTGTTTACCGATCCAGGGGCTATCTTAGCATGTTGTGTGAAGATATCATGAGGCTGGCTTATTTATTTTCCTGTAGACATAGCATGTCATGTCCTCTCAACAATGGTGACTTCTAAACCCAGGTTTAGGTTGATACGTACTGTGGGAATCCTCCCAGTTAATAAGTCTCTTTTCTGGTAGTATTCACTGTCTTTGGTCTGCCCCGTGTATAATACCCAGAATCCAAGTCTCTTCACACGTCCAGAGTTTTTAGAAGTCTCGTGTGTATACTGCATTTTAAAATTGATACCGCTTTGCAATAAATTCCGCCGAAATCCTTTTGCCTCTGATCCTATAACACGCCTTGATAGAAGAAATTTCATTCGGTGCCTGGGTCCTGCGGTCAAGCATCCCATTCACGACCCAAGGGCTGCCTCCCTTTGTGACAATTACCCTCTCATTTCCAGCCCGATAAAACGGAACCGTAAGAAACTTTCTGAAGTTTGCTTCCGTGAAGCCGGGCGCTTCAAAACATTTTAACAGTGAAACAAAACTAGCAGAAAATGTCTCTTCTAAATTGCAGCGGGGGAAGCAGGTCCTAATTTCGTAGACTTCAGACGGTTTCGGGTCAGAGCAGAAATGCAACGGGCAGGATGCGATGTCAGTGTGTTTCTGTGCACTATGAAATCCACCCCCAAAATATTAATAATCTTCAAAGCAGTTAATACGTTGTATTAGCTGCAGTGATACTTAAGTTTCACTTGGGGAGAAATTTAATAAGAGGAGATAATAAATTAAGAGGAGGTAATAAATTAACTTTCTGCAACAATTCTTGTTCAGCCTTAACTAGAGCCAAGCAGGATCAGGAGATGAACAGCAGAAAGGAAATGGGTTTATTCCCATAGGAAGATGTACATTAAACACAGACGGCTAATAGAGCTATTTGATATAGACCTTATTATATCAAAAAGTTTCCTTGGTATGAAAAAAGGGGGGTACCAGCCTAATCTTCTGAATTTTTGAATGGCTTTCCTTCTCTGTATGCTTCGAGGTTGGAAAGAAAGGACACGCAATACACGCGCTCTCATACACACCCGCAGTTGTCCTGCCAAGACCAGCAACCCCGAAGTTAAGCGCGCTTCCTTTTGTGACACCCCTCGCGTTCAAACGCGCGCCGACCCTCTTTCTTTCAACAGCTGGACGTTTAGGCTTCAAAGACGTCCGTCAGGATTGCAACCTAATGCAGGTCACCCATCATTCCCCCCACCCCAAAGAAACCCGGCGTTTTCCTCCCTTAGGAAGAAAGTAAATCCATTCGATTCGGTTTGGACAAAGCCGAACTCTGTCGGTCTGTATGTTTTCTTTTGCTGCTGGCTCTTCCCTCCCCTCCCCACCCCACCCCGCATCTTTTCTCACACTTTAGACAACCGATTTGGCAATCAGTTTTCGGCCATTCTTTTTATTTTTATAAACAAATCAGAATGTTCTGGGCCACGCGGTTGGTGTACCTCTGCAACAGTTTGAATGTTTGTTTAAAGTCAGTTTGCAGGTTGAAATAGCTGTGGAATAGACACAGCGGCTGCGTTCCCACAATACCTTTACTCGGGGTTAACTGAATCCTGGTTGACTCAAATAATCCGAAGAGGTGCTGGGCCAGAAAGCAACCTTCAGCGCTCCGCCCTCGCGAACACTTTAGGTTAAAATCGGTGGGTTGCAACTCCCTGCGTCGTGGGAACCCGGCATTGTGCCTGCAAGAAATGGATTCCCAGCCACCCTGAGGTTGGGGAAAGAGCGGGTGGGGACGTATGGGGTACTTCACAGTTGAATAGCTGTGGCTAAGCTAATTAACGGCTCATTATGCGGGTCCAGGGGAAAGTTTGAAGCAACCACGAAGCATTTTTCCGGCTCATGATAAGCGGGCACACGCGAAGTCAAAATCTGGGAAGAGTCAGGTATGTCCCTGGTCTCCAGATTCATCCCAGTGCAATGAAAGTGAGGGCTAAGGTTGCTAGAAACTGACATCCGCCCAACCCTTCGTGCAAAGCAGCTGTTTTACTTCCTGTGTCAGTCACTTTTCTGGCGTGTGGAAATCCTTTGTGACCCCTAAGGAAGAGGCGCTGGGCGAAAGACCTGAAGGCGCAGTCAGACGCGCGATCCTGTACTTCTCCGTTCCAAAGGAACGAGAGTTATTTTACCCCCCAGGAGTCGGGCTAACCTAACCCAGGACTATTTAGAACGAACTGTGGCAGTGTTCGGACGTATTTCGCAGACCGAGGAGTGTAGAATCGTCCAGACGCTCTAATCCAGCCCAAACGTGCAGACTCGGCCGCCAGCTGTTCAACTCAATGGGGTTTTACTCTCAGGTAAAGCGGGGTCTCTCAGGCCGCTGCCTAAGGAAACCCCTCGATTTCCTCGAAAATGGATCTCAACAGAATTCACCGAGGCTGGGATCTAATTCCAAGGAGAAAGGTTGCTCTTTTTCCCGTACCTTTGGGCCCCCACCCCGATCTTAACACAAGATCACCTTATCTCGCGGAAGGAGGATTTTTGCTTGCCCGTTTCCAGGAAAAAAAAAGGCGAGGGGCTTCCGTTCTTCCTTCTGAACTACGAATAAGCAGCATTGCGGTCTCAAGGGACATATTTGCTATTTAAATGGCCTGAGGGTGGGCGGAGGGCGGGGGGAGGGAAGCATATCAACAAGTGGCCAGTGAAACCAGGCCATAAAACAACTTGGACTTCATTCGCCGGCCATGAACTTACTGTTAATACCGCCTTCCCCGGTCGTGGGTTTCAACATTTCCTCCCTTCAATGAAATAAATACATAAACCCTCTGAGAAGGGTCTGGGGTTTGCCCTCAAGGGTTTTATTTTGGGGGGGGCGCATGCAACGTTGAGGTTCCGAGCTGTGCGCCTCTCAAAAAGTGAATCTAAGAGCTGGAAGGCAAATCGGGACCCCAGAAGTTCTTGTGTAGGGTGTGTATGTGCGTAAGTGGTGATAGAGAGAGAGAGGCTAACTCAAGAACCGAAGGGGTTAATGTTTTCCCCGTTCAAAACGATTAAATAAAGTGGAGATCTATCTTTCCCATTTGGGATTTCCCCCCACCTCCCATTCTCAACCCGCCAATAGATATGGCTGAACGGCAAAGGCGCTTCTTTTCAGTTCTATTCATTCGGGGGTCGGGCGGGGGGGGGGGGGACCTGGGATCTGTCTCACTCCCACAAGTCAGAAGGACTCCGTTTGAAATTCGGTACAAGTGTGACACCTACCTGTGAATTTGGGAAACAATGTAAGGCGACCCTCCTCGCCCTCCATTTGCGCGCACTGCTCTGCGCTCGGCAGAAGTCCCCTCGACGCGGCATCAGCGGGATGGGGCCAATGGGGCGGAAGGGGGATAATTTAAGCGCCCTCGCTTTGCAAACCTAGCGAGACCCGGAAGGAGAAAGAGCCCCGGAGAGCTACGGCAGCGAGGAAAGGAACGACACGCTGGCCCACGCACGCACAGATTCACACACCCTCGCGGTTCCCCCGTGTATTCTCCGGAAGAACTCTGCAGACGTTCGCGAGATCGGCCAGAGAAAAATCGGCCATAAAATCGAATTTCTTCCCGAGGTTCACGTGCAAAACGCGGCCATAAAGGCCGATAGGGATTGGAAAGGATTAAGTTAAAAGATATAGCCTTTGGGGGCTATTCCCACAGAGGGAGCGGGGAATCCGCCTGAAGGGTCGCAAGGCTTGAAAAAGCGGCGGCGTCTTCCACTTCCAGCCGGCCTTGCAGCATTTCCCCCACCCCCGCGTTACGAACGACCCCATATATAGGCAGGGCCCTGCGTCCCGGAGCTGCAACTCCGGGCGTCGTGGTGAAAAAGGGCGACCCTTCTCGAGAATCAATCCACCGACCCGCAGGATCTACCCAGATCTTAACAAAAGCGGATATCTGTGGCCGAGGCTGGGCCACCGGCTCGGCCCCCACCGGCGCGTTCACAAAATCAAACGGTAGCCCAAGGCCACTTCAGACTATGTGACATCGGGACCATAATTTCAGGTTGAATTACCTCCCCCGATCAGCACAATTCGCAGAGTCCCTTGACCTTCTGGTCTGCGTAATATCCGCCCCGCTTAAGTATCTCTGGTAGCCTTCTGCTCCGTACTACTGGCT